CAGGTTGATGCTGTGCACGTCCCGCGGGCGGAAGCGCTTCCGCCACGACGGCGTCCGGCGGAACGTCTTGTCATCGCCCTGAGGGACACAGAGGGGCCTGGGCACGGGACCTCGGCCTGGGGAGGCACCGGCACTGCTGCCACCCCACGGGGGTGTGCCCGGCCTGGCTGACCCCTGACCCGTAGGACAATCATGGAATATTCCGAGCTGGAAGGACTCACAGGGACCGTCGAATCCAACCCTTCAGTGAACGACCCGAACCCACGAGCTCAGTGTTGTGGGCTCCACCCACCCAGCTAATCCCAGCTGTGGATGTTGGTCTCAATGCCTGTGTCCACTTCCCTTGGGATGGAGGAACCTCCCAACCCCAGGACGCTGATCCTGCAGCTGGTGAAGCTCTGGGGGTGAAGGACTCAACGGGCAGAGCTCCATGGACACCACGGCCCGACCAGCTGAGCTCAGCTCAGGGTCACGTATGATCAAACCATGGGCCAAGGGCAAGGAGACCTCCCCGGGGTCCCAGGGCTTTATCCCAAGGCTTTGTCCTTTCCAGCTCGCCTGTCCCTTCTCCCCAGCCTGCCTGCAAAGGTGCCTTGGAGACATCAACACTCAGGCCCCACTAAAGACCTCAGGGGATGGTGGGGCCATGGAGGAGACACTTCAGCCCTTGGAGCATCCCTGTGACCTCCTCTGGACTCGCTCCAGCAGCTCCACCTCCTCCTGCTGCTGTTCCCAGGGCTGGAGGCAGCTCTGCAGGGGGGTCTCACCCGAGGGGTCAGAGGGGCAGTTCCCTCCTTCCCTGTGCCCACGATCCCTGTGGGACCAGCCAAGGGCACGGGGGGTTTGGGGTCCCAGCACATGTGGTCAGGGCATGTTGAGCTTCTCATCCCTCCACAGCCCCAGGTTCTTCCCCCAAGAATACAGGACAAGGGGCAGGTTTGGCACTCACATCATCCAGCCTCCGGTCCGTGCCCAGGGCCAGCAGGTTGTTGAACTCCCTCTCCAGCACCTGCCGAGCCTGAAAGGAACGAAACATGAGCATTGCCCACCAAGGGGAATGTGTTTCCAGCCAAAAATCCCATCCCAGGAGAGCCTGAGAGTGACAGAAAAAGCCTGAGGATGCCAGAAAAGCCCCTGTGCCAGCAGAGAGCTCTGCTCTGAAGGGCAGAGATGAGTTGGTGGGACTGGGGGGGTCACCCCACAGCCGTGTCCCACACTGGCCACCCTCCTCCAAAACCCCCAAGGATGCTGCTCCTACCTGTGTGTTCTGGGTGGGGATTTGCAACACCAGGGCCAGGCTGTTGTGGTCAAAGTTCTCGTCCAGGGCCAGCAGGGCCCCGTGCACCCCGCTCTCCACCAGGTTGTTGGCGTACTCGCGCAGCCCGATGGACTGGATCCAGTGGATCACCTGGTCGTTGGTCCACACCAGCACGTCTGCAAAGGAGCCAGGGCACATCTCAGGGCCACCCCAGACCGTGCTCTCGTGGTTGTGAGGGGATCTGAGGGTGTCCTGAGGGCTTTTCCCCGTGCCCCAGGCTGACCCTGGGACTCTCCTTCCCGAGCCAGCAGCGCCGGGAGCTCGAGTGCCAGGAGCAGCTCACTTCAACTTCCCAAACCAAAGGCTGGAACAACGGGCAGAAAACAACTGTGCAAATTAATCCTAAGAACCCCCAGCTGCTGGTGTAATTAGGGGCATTATCAGTAACGAGATGTAATCCAAGCAGCAGCCAGATGTGCAGGGAACCTCAGGACAGCCGGGAAGAGGAGGCCGAGCGAGCTGGGGGGCGTGTGCTGAGCATCTGGAACGGGCAGGAGGGGATCTGATGCTCAGGTTGGGTCTTTGCTGCCCTCACACCCTTCCTCCCTCCTTGTGCCTGACTGGGGTCAGCTGTGTGTTGGGGACATGCTGAAGGGAGTTCTCCCCTGGAGAACTCAGAAATAATGGGTTAAAAACAGGAGACAGGAGAGGGACCGTGGCTGGGGATCTCCTGGGAGGTTAAAAACAGGAGACAGGAGAGGGACCGTGGCTGGGGATCTCCTGGGAGGTTAAAAACAGGGGATGGGAGAGGGACTGTGGCTGGGGATCTCCTGGGAGGTTAAAAACAGGGGATGGGAGAGGGACTGTGGCTGGGGATCTCCTGGGAGGTTTCCCTCCTCCTTTTCCTGGACAGGGTGTGCAGGTGCTGACCTTTGATTTCGTGCTGGGTCTCCTCTCTCCTCTTCTCGAGCTCCTTGCGGTCGTAGTTGAGCCTCTTGAGGCACATGATGCCGTACTGGAGGCTGGTGCTGCAGGGACACGAGGTGTCACCCCCTCCCCGGGGGCTCAGGGCCACCACAAGGACCCGAGCAGGGCCCCCCCTCCCCGCCTGCCCTCTCTGTGCCCAAAGGGTGCTGAGGGTCAGGGATGGCTCGGGACAGGCACAACCCGGAGCTGGAAAATGGGGAATGTCCCTCCCTTCCACGGCAATTCCCCACTCCATCGGTTCCACCCTGTCCCAGCTGCCTGGGAGCCCCTGGATCCAAATAATGACAGTGCTGGGTGGGGGAGAGGGAGGGGAGAACCAGCCTGGGGGGCTGCTCCAGGCTCCAGGGGCAGGGGGGGACATGGCAGGGCCATGGACACGTCCCTGTGGGGCAGGGGGCGTGGGGGAACCCCAGGACAGGGTGTTGGAGCAGTGGTTGGGATGTGGAGGCCCACAGACACATCCCTGTGGGTCAGGGGGGTTTGGGACCCCTGGGACAGGGCTGGGTGTGGGAGCAGTGGCTGGGATGGCACGAGCCCTCTCCCCCAGGACTGCTCTGCTGCCAGAGGGACTCCAGGTGGGACGAGCCCCAAATCCTGCCCCTGGTTTGCTCCACAACCAGGAGAAGGCTCAGTCCCTCCGCAGTTGTGCAGCAGGGAGTGTGAGGAAGGAGAACAACTCCCATCAGAGCCAAGAGTCCTAACTCGAGAGGGCGAGTCCAGCCCAGAGGAGCCGCCCAGGGCCAGCCAAGGCAGGGGAGGATCCCTCAGATCCCCCCTGCTCTGCTCCACGGGCACCCCAGGGCCCTCCCAGAGCAGGGCACCCACCGGTGGAAGCTGTCCACCATCTTCAGGTGCACCCTGAGGTCTTTCTTGGTGAGGTGGTCGAGCATCCGGGCGTCCACCAGACACTCCATGAAGTAGCTGCGGTACTGAGGGAGCCCCAGGCTGGGCAGCCACTCGTTCCCAATCCACTCGTGGTTCATGTCCCCGTAGGCCAGGGTCTGTGGAGAAGCAAATGGAGAAGCCTGGAGAACCCTGGGCCTGGTGGAGCTGGAAAATCCCAGGAGAAGGGAGGTGGCTCAGCTCAGGTCACTGTCCCGAGGCCCAACCCCAGGCCAGAGGGGTTTAACCGAGAGGGAACAGTCCTTTGGGCCATGGCTTCTATCTGCTGATGTCCCACGAGGAGACAAGGCAGCAGCCCAAGGAATAGCTGGACTTTTGTGAGCAACTGCTTCTGGAAAATCCACATTCATTGAAAGCTGAACCAACTGAGAAATAGGTTCCAGTGCATTCCCAACTGATGTTTAGGAACCTCTGTTTTAAGAATCTTTATTTTATGGCTTCAAAACAAAAAAAAAAAAGGTCAGTTTTAGGCAGAACCCCCAGACTGGTTCACTTTCACTGCAAACTGGTTCTGGGTCCAAAAATGAAATAAAATCCACCAGAATAACAGCAAAACATTTGAGAGTGACATAACCAGAAAGGATGGATCCCAGCAGGACTCTTTCCTCCCACCTTTTTGGGTCATTAAAATGGTCTGTATGGAGTTGGGGGCTACAAAACAGGTGAAAAGTAAATGTAAAATAGGTGAAAAGAAAATGTAAAATAGGTGAAAAGAAAAGCTGCTCCCAGTGGGGGGTTCTTAACAGAGGCTCCTCTTACGGAGCAGGTCCCAGGAAAAACCACTGCCAGGAGCAGAAGAGGACCCTGCAAGGTCCCAGGAGCACACCCTGCCCCTGAAAGGCGGCTCTGGAGCAGCCCCAGGTGCAGGTTCAGACTCCGACAGGCACTGAGGGAACATCAGAGCCCCACATTCCCCCCCAGGAGTGTCCAGCTCCCCCTCCCACCACACCCCATGCACCGCCCCAGGAGGGGTGACACGGGGACCTCACCTGTGCCCAGCTGCCCTCCTCTGTGTCCTGGGGGTGACACATGCAGCATGTCAACAGAAAGGACAGGACAGGTCAGTGCCCGGGCCCACGGCAGGATCTGCCTCGTGCTGAGCGGGGACCCCCCGGCACAGCGGCACCAGGAGGGGACACCTCGGCCTTGTCACCAACCCCACCAGGCCCAGGTGTCACCCCCTCTCTAACCAGGGAAGGACACAGGAGGAGGTTTGGGCTGGAGGCAGCACCGACCCCGGGGCTCCTGCGCCTTCCCTGGGAAATTGGGGAGTTCTCGTGTCCCCCCAGGTGAGATGGATGCAGAGAGAAACTTCAGCTTCAGTTCCTGGGTCACCACCCCCCAGAAGGGCTGCCCAACCCAACTGAATGATTTTGTAGCTTCCTTATCAAGCTGGGCTGGTTTTCCACACAAAACCTGCCAGGGGACAGTGTCACCTCCCTGCCACACCTCAGAGCCCTCCCACCCAAAAAGCACCTGCCAGTCACAGGTCTGTGCTGCTCAAACAGCAGAAAAAAGCTTCAATAAAATGCCAAAATCACAGAATCCCAGAGTGGTTTGGGTTGGAAGGGCCTCAAAGCTCCTCTCGTTCCACACCCTGTCCTGGGCAGGAACAACTTCCACCAGACCACGTTGCTCCAACCCAGGGAGCAACAAACAACATTCACACAACACATCCAAAATGCTGCCCCTGTTCTGAGCCACAGGGTCATTAAGTTGCAGACAGGGGAGCGTGGCTACATCTCTAAAGGAGCCAGAGCTTTTGGGGGAGCAGCCACATCCCTTTGGAGGACCCCGAGCCGTCAGGCAGCAGCAGGGACAGGCAGCAGGGACAATATTTGGGTGTGCTGAGATCATCAGGGCGTGAGGCAGAGGCTTCTCTGGGTGCAGAATGATGCAGGGACTCAATCTCACGTGTCTATCTTGGGATCTCTCTTGCTTTTTGCCTTTAAGTCCCAGCTGACAGACAGGATGCCCTACAAACCCACGGGGGCTCGACAAACGAAAATGCTGCTGATGGTTTTTAAGCCAGTTCTAGAAATTGTTGGGATATCAAAGGTTCAAAGGTGGTTTCTAAGCAGGTGCAGGGTGCTGGCCAAGAGCTGGCACACGAGAGGCAGCAGAGATCCCTTTCCCTCCTGAGGTTTGGGGCATGAACACACACCCAGAGCTTGGTGAGCTCGGGGCTGCTCGGCCTCACCGTCTTGGTGGAGGTTGCCATGTTCTCCATCTCCTCGTGGGTGACCCAGACGTTTCCAGAGGACTGCAGGGAAAACAGCAGAGGGGTCAGAGGGAACCGCCACAGAGCTGTGGCCTCAGGGTTCACAAACATCATCAAATCGTGGAATTACAGAATTATTAATGTTGGGAGAGACCTTTAATATCATTGAGTCCCAACCATCAGCCCAGCACCACCAC